CTGAAAGGGGGGAAGTGGGGGATAAACGGACTGATTTTTATATACATGTACAATGTTTATGTAACTAATAACCGGGAGGGGGAGGCTGAAATTGAATGGGGGCTGAATGGAAAAATAATGTTCCCTTTTTAGTCACATCTCTGATTACAACGGTTCCGAAAGAACGCTCTCTGAACTTCAATTAGATATGTTCGATGTCCCGTTAGGACCATTTCGATATATTGATATAACAACGAAAACACGATGGTGAAAAGTCGAAAGAACGATGGGTGAAAAGTCGAAATAACGAAACCACGATGACGAAAACTCGATATAATTTCGTGTTATCACCATCAGTGGTTTCGTTATTTTACTTTTCACCATCGTTCTTTCGATTTTTTATCAACGCGTTTTCACCTTTTACCATTGTGGTTTGGTTATTTCGACTTTTCACCATCGAACTTTCGACTTTCCATTATCGTGGTTTCTATTTTTCACCATGCTACTTTCGACTTTTCATAATCGTGGCTGCGGCTTTTCACCATCCTAGTATCGTCTTCCTGTCTGGCATGCGCACAAAGATCATAACAATGGATGACGATTTAAGAAACTATTTTAAAAAGAATAAAATGACAAACAAAAATTTTTTTAAATGGCTTTAGATTTTGATAAGTACTTTTTGCGTTTTTCTTAATTATAAACGCTAACTGTTTCGGACTATCGATGGCATCTTTATATAGATTATTCTAATAATTGTCATTCAGTGCGCATGCTTAACAGGAAGACGAAATACGACGGTGAAGAAACAACGAAACCACGATTGTGAAAGGTCGAAAGTGCGATAGTGATAACACGAAATTATATCAAGTTTTCATCATCGTAGTATCGTTATTTTGACTCTTCATCATCGTATCTTCGATTTTTCAACACCTTGATTTCGTTATTTCATCGTTATTTTCATCGTGTTTTCTTTAATTGTTCGAATTAAGTGTGTGTCGCGATGCCTCTAACGAGACACCGTAGATATGCCGTACTTGTGACTTATTTCATATGTAGTAAGTTTTGATGCTAGCTATAAACTAAAAAGGTATCAAAAGAAACAAGCCCATTTTTCTTCTGGAATTAGAATTTTCTATATAATAATACATGTAATGTCCTTCATTTTCAACGACATCTGGAATTAGAATTTTCTATATAATAATACATGTAATGTCCTTCATTTTCAACGACATAAGAGAAATTTGATGGCCCGGAAAATACGATTATCTCTTTGGACGTTAAAGCTGCATGCCTCATGTTTTCATGTTGTTGTTTTTTTTTGCACGGTGTTTGGATTGTGTATAGTATAAACTTTGACGCAAACAAGAGAGTAATACCACCCCCAGGAATGTTATTTTACTGTAAAATACGTAAAAAAATCAGTGTAAAACCGAAATAAATCATTGTTAATACGTCAATGCGCATTCGTGACATCACATGTTGAGCAATACTATGTAAGAATATGTAAGACCGATCGACGGTGGAGGGAAAGGGGATGGAGCTATGTTTATCCTCAAATAAAAATGATCGTGTTTTAATCAGGAAATTTATCAGTAACTCAAAGAAAATACATAGCACGTGCTCTGCGTGAACGTTTCTTAGTGTCTGTAGTAACAAGACAGGTGGAGGCAATGTTATACATGTATAAAATAAACTGTATAATTATAATCAAACGAAGCGACAGCTTCGACAGTATTTATATGTAAAACGTGTTGAAAATAGAGTGAATTGTTCACTACAGTGTTGATAGTAGGTAAACAAACTTACTACAAGAAGAAAAGGCTATGAACTCTGGTTCATTGATTGTATTGGCCGACTATTTATCAGTATGATAACAATATGCAATACAAGTTTTATTAAGTACATTTTCTAATTACTTTCAATTTGTAAAATCTGGTTTTTGATTGAACTATCAATTTTTATGTAATTTATAAATCATTAAGAATATGCTCAAGAAGCCAATAAAAAAACAACATTTGGACGGTATATACGGCCGCCACACCCCTTCTCTATTAGGGTCACGCGGTAAAGAGCGTGTGTTTTCACCTTATTTGGTTAAATTGCAGTTTCTTTTTTTATCAGAAAGTCATTTCAAGGAGTCAGAGTAGTGTCACTTTTTCTGAGAAAGATCCAAATTTGGTACATATCACAAGAGCTTGTCACGTTTTGTGAGAAAATTTTAAACTTGGTACATATCACAAGAGCTTTTCACTTTTTCTGAGAAAGTTTTTGATTTGTTACACATCACAACAATAGCTTGTCACCTTCTCTCTTAACAAATACACCAATCCTAAAAACACAAAATGACAAAAAAAAGCATATTAATAGTAATGAATTTAGACAAGAAGCATTTTAAAAGACATTCGGCCAAAGTCACCCTGTTTTACTACTTGAATATGTTATTTCGGAGTTTTGAAGAAATGTAAGCTTAGTTCTTGTTTATCAATTAATGACATTAATCGCAGTGCAAATTTTCATGGTCGCCGACACGAACTAAAGTCGTAGTCAATTTATTAACAAATAAAACGGACGTGGGATAGTCATGCCAAGAATTGTGTAAACATTTGAAATGAACCTTTTCGTTTACCTAATTTAGAGTATTATCGCGATTAAAGTATCAATATATCTCACAAATGCTTCTGTAATCTTTATTTATTTATTTTTCTTCCCCATTTCTGTACTTTATGTCACAACCAAAAGCTGTACTGTATGTCACAAAGTGTGTCGTAATTCATATCTGGCTTATTATTATAAATGCATTAAGTCATGTAATTTTATTGTTTCTAGAATAAAATATAATTCTTTCTTGTAGCCTATAGAATTCACAGTTATTCCAGTATTGGAAAAAGTCTGGTTGATAATTTTGAAATAAAAAAAAACAGATCTTTTTAACACAAGCAGAAAAAAGAGCTTCTTTGGCCCTTCTTTGTGAAACCATTTTATTTATTTTTTGTTTTACAATAATTAACATATTTAACTAACTTTGCTATTTCTAGTTTTCTGTATACTCTGAAAAAAAAAACATGACAGAAACCCTCATTTGGTTATCTAATTTATTCTTTTTGTTATTGTGCCCTGTTATGGTTTCCCAAAAAATATACATTGGCCAATTACCATAACCATTTTTTTGCTTCTGTTGTTTTTTGGCAATTAGTACAATTTAGTGATTTAGTGTTTTGTATGGGAGTTAAAACACTTCTATAATTATGTGCATTTTACTACATTTATGACAAATAATTTCACACTTGAAACATACTCTAAAACTATTATTTTAACGTAATGAACCTCGTGTTTTTCTAAAAAAAGAAAATATTAAGTTTCTGAGACATCATGTGCCTTTACAGAAGCATCATGTGCCTTTTAAACATAGAATGATTTTCCATTCTCCTATATGCAAGTGTATCATATTTTGCCACAACCACGTTGGGTGGAGATCTCCTTGCCTGGTGTCTTTATGTCCAAACAAATTGTATATCCAGAAACTATCATATATCAATGAATTGCGGTTCTTAAACACGTGCTTTTCGGTCACATTTCGTTGTACGTGAGTAATGTGCCAATGTGTCAATGATATCTGGTAAAAAGGTTAGCGGGGTTGATAGATCAAACGCAGAAAATAGAATTTAATTAAACAGTTCATTATAGCGCTTTGAGAATATGTTATATATAAACTTGTTGAAATTCGAGTGTAACCTATCATATAGTGTTAGTAGTAACATAAATTATACGGCTATTATAACAGTAGTAACGTGGAGGTCATTGTACACGTTGACTTAATATTTAATTATACAAAGCATAAGTATAATTATACCCCCTCAAATAAATAAATAAATGAATAAATAAATAAATAAATAAAATCAATCGGTCTACGATCAATATTGCCAGAGTTAAGTTCAATGTTTATTTTGCTTTAACGTAAATGTAATGTCTAACGCCAATACATATACTAGTAAAGTATTTTGGCTGCCAAAGACAAATGAATACATATTTTGAACATGAGAAAAAGCATGATAGTAATAATGAATGCAGTCACTGTCTATCGTGTAGATTTGCAAAAACGTGAAAACATGTACATGTTCAGTTACTCTTTTTGGTATACTAATTGAAAGACGAGGAAAAGCTGCCTCAAAAAGGACATTGCAACCAAACATTTTGTCATTAGGCTCCAATTTATATACTCTCTTCAATTAAGAAATGTTGCCCATAATAAACACGTTTGAATAGTCAGTCTACATTCATGTTTAAAATATTGTAACATTTCGCTATCAGTTAAATTGATTCCGACTAGGACAGAATTTATACCGGATTACGTCATCGGTACTTAAGAATCTAATATATGCTATGGGCTCGGACGTTTTTATTTGCAAGTACTTGTAGTACAGAACAATTGATCTGCCATCATTTGAACTATAGATTACTATTTAGCAGTCTTATACTTGTTAAATACTTGACTATATTTTCATGCTATGTTAAAAACCTCTGCGTGGTTCCTACGATGTAAAGCTGTTCCATAGCAACTTTTGACTATTGCCACATTTCGCCTTATCATTTCCGAAGAAAAGCAAATAGAAAAACAAGTGTCCTCAGTGATAAAATGTTGTTTCATTTATACAGTTATAATGGTGTCAAACAAGTTATTACATTGTATAAATAATGGACAGATATTTAAGTTCCGGTGTGCCTAAGATAAAAAATGTGACGTGGGAGATGCGAACTGGAAGAAATGAAAAAATACCACTGTGGAGGTCAAGAAGTTGCAAATAATTAATCAAAAGTACAAACAAATCTTTTGCTGCCTGAAGTAATATTTGAAAAAGGCATTTGATTGATTTGCTTATTTTACGGCACGGTGTTCTAGCATAAACACTCGCGCGTGTTTTGAGTGAAGACCAAAAAGGTTTTTAAATCAAAGACATGGATTTTACAAAAATGTTAAATGGACTTACAAGTAATTCTTCCGTTTCATCAAACGGGACGTGTATACCATTTCCACTGTTATTCCGAAATGATTCACAGAGTAACAATGCCACCTCATTACAGTGCGTTCAGCCAAACTTTTTGAATTTCACTAACTTGGATCCGGCTTTTCTAAATTTTCTTCACGAGTTACGATCGAACCTTCTTCCAGAACCACTACCAAACAATCTTGTTGTCACTTTCATCGTGTTATACAGTTTGATAATAAGTTTCGCCGTCGTCGGGAATATTGTCGTCGTGGTCGTAATTGGTCGGCACCGACTTCGTCGCTCCGTTACAGACTTGTACATATTTTCATTAGCAGTTAGCGACATTTTGATAGCAACTTTAAATATGCCGTTTCAACTTAGTTATGTGATTGCCAGCGAGTGGTTTGCTGAGGGGGCGGCTGGAGAGTTTTTGTGCAAGTTTACAAATTATGTACAGGGTGTGACCATTGTATCCTGTGTTTTGACTTTGACTGCGATTGCCGTGGATAGGTAATGGCAGCTTACTATTTTATTATTATTATTGTTTTTTCGTAGTAATTATAAACTGTTAAACAATTCTTTATTGCCAGTCATGTATCTTTTAGGTTTTTTCTCGACCATAAAAAAGAACGTACGGTCTTAAAATGGCAATGTGCATGTAGTCGTACTATTTTCTATTTAGAAAGCACATAACACTTAAGAAGTTAATATTTTTTTTCTTCCTGTGAAAATACAAACATGTTTAATAATGTTTTTATAATAGGCCTAGAAAATTGCGTTATAAGTGAAATTATTTGTGGTAAAGGTATCAAAATGTAAACAAAAGGGTATTTTGACTGACAACCGCAATGACGGTACTGCATATTGCCAAACAAAAAGCTTCCAATATTTCATTTTTACATTATTCAAATAAATATGTAAATTCGTCATCATTATCATTATCACAATTTTAAATGCTTCTCGTTTTTTTGTCGTTTCTTTGACAAAATAGGTTAATTAAGAGAAATACAAATTAAACACTGGAAAGCATTCTTTGATAGAATTTAAAACGAGCTTGACTGTAATAAGATATGTTAGTACAGCTGAACAATTTTCTTCAGTCAAACGCCTTAAAGAAATATTGTGTGTAACACTATAAAAATATAACATTTTGTTTATTTTTAAGGTATATTGTTATATGTCAACCAAAGCTATCAAGAAGGATGCATTCAAAGAAGTCTGCAATTATCGGAATCGTTGTCGTCTGGTTGATATCACTGTGTGGTCTGTCTCCACATCTGGTATTCCAAAAACTTGACAAGCGTTTAAAATTAACCGAGCACGCAATCAGTGTCGGCTGGATTTGTGCTGAATTCTACCCACGAGGAAAAGCAGACGGACAACTTTATTCCGTATTTGTTTACGTTTTCCTGTACGTGATGCCGGTTTTAATTATGATCTTTACGTACGGAGCCATAGCACACCGCCTATGGTTCAAGCGATCGGTATTTCCGGTGACTAACAATTCCAATCAGTTTGCCAGAGGCGTTGCACATAAAAAGAAAATCACAAAGTTACTGATAATTCTTGTTCTTGCGTTCACAATTCTGTGGTTACCGTTCTTTTCTTTCTCGATGTTCACGAAGTTTGCAGATATGGACACGAACTCGACCAGGATAAAAATGGCGGTGTTACAGCTTGTCGGGTACAGTAATTGCTGTGTTAACCCGGTTATATATACATTTCTAAACAATAGTTTTCAGAAAGAATTCATGCGAATGTGTGGTTGTCTTCCATGTTTTAAAAGGACCGTTGTAAGCTCTTCTGTTAAAACGGACACAGAAAGTAAAATCTGAAGTAGAAATAGTTATTCTGCCACAGAAAGTAAAATCTGATGTAGAAATAGTTATTCTGCCACAGAAAGTAAAATCTGATGTAGAAATAGTTATTCTGCCTACTTTCATAATTGGCATATTTGAATGTGGCATCTAGCAATTACATAACCATTTTTCACGTTGTTATAAGATGCATCTATCGTTTCTATTTCATCATTATCATTCGGTGGTGAGGACATAAAAGACAAAAGTCTTTAGACACTGTTTCCTTAAAGGAATATGTCATTGTATTTGTTTGGAACAGAATTACTGCATTTATTTCCTCTTGCTTAATGACATTGGAACTAGCATTATGTTTGATTACATATTACATGTACTTTATTTCAATAATACTTGTGTTTTGCTGATTTGTTTATTGATTATTAGCATGTACTGAACCAATACCATGTGCGCATAAGTATGAGCTGATTAGTATGGTCGATCGAAGGTATAGTGGCTGATTTGTGCAATTCATGTTTTCGCCTCGCGACCCCGCCAAGCAAAAAGTCAGAATTATTAAGTTAAAATGGCGGAGCAAAAACAAGCTTATTAGCGGGGGCGCGATGTAGCAAATAAAACTTAACCCTCAGGGGCTGGATTTATTAAATCAAACGTCTCCCCGCGGTGATGCGGAGCGAGATTTAAGAAATAAATCGGCGGGGGCGCGGAACGAAAACACGCTTATTAGCGGGGCGAATTTCCTTAAATCTCGCTCCGCGCCCACACGGGTATTAAACTTCGCCCCGTGCCCTCGCTAATAAGTGTGTTTTCGCGCCGCGCCCCCGTCATTTTAATTTGTTTATTCTCGACTTTTCGCTTGGCGGAGTCTCGGGGCGAAAAATCAAATGGCACATGTCAGCCATCATACAAAGGCGATGACATGATAATATGCTTATCGAGACTTCTCCTTAGACTTTTTAGGCGAAGTAACGAGACCTTCTTATGTAGAATAATCGTATCGTTACCCTATATTTGTCGTGTCGTCACCTCAAATACCGAAGACACAATAATTAGACAATTTATCGAGCCTTTGTTCTGGTGGCTGATTTGGAACACTTTTATGCATCCTGTGGTCGCTAGCGACATCTAGAAAAAGAGCGAAATGGCGTATTGTCGACTGTCGCTAACGATGCACACCAACGAACCACAGTGTGTTGTCGTATTGTCGCGATGCCACATTGTCACTCGGCTCAAATTGTAGGATTGGCCATAAGTAAGCCAAGCAACAGGACTACATCGGACCGCACGACAACGCGCCGTTAGGCGTGTTTCGCTAGCGACAGGAAGACAGTGTGCCGTTTGTCGCGTTTCGCCAGCGACAAGAAGACAAGGCGATAACAATATAGGTTTTATTGTCCCTATTGATGACGCAAAGCGCAAAGTGTACCAAATCAGCCACCATACTTCGCCCCTCTAGTGGAGGACACGATAAGTTATTTGACTGTACAAAATGAGTAGGAGGCTTTCTAAACAAAGTTCTAATTAAGGCAATTTTATCAGAATTTTCGAAATCCTAATTATGAGTTAGTTTCTTAACAAAACATTAAAATTGGGTAGAATACTACGTCATCGTGCACATGCATTTAAAAATTATATCAAGTCCTAAGGCAAACTTTGATGCGCTATATTATTTTTGTGATATTCTAACAATTTCTTAGAATAAAACTTCGAATCGGCGGAAAAAAAAAAGTTTGTAGTGAGCATTTTACACGATATCCTACCATTGTAATTTCTTTTGAAAATGTTGTAATTTTATTAGAGATTTTCGACTGTGCGAGCAAACACACGCATCGAGGACATGATGGAAGGAAGTTTGACCGTGCGACCACATACATACACGCATCCCAGAATTCCCCTTCTCATACGAGAAAGGGACATAGAGTTGTCCGCCCCTTTTTTCAAAGGGGCAGACTATAAAAATCTGCCGTTTCCATATTGTTATTAATAAGGAGGCTATTTCTCAGAAAGATGGCTGGAATAAGTTTTAATACAAATGTAGTTATGCAAATCAATCGTGGGACCAGTTGTTGTCTTTTTAGTTCGGTATGAAATTTTTTAAAAAACACATATAATTTCTAGGAAAATCTTGAGTTTACATTTTTCTCTACTTTTCATTGAATATATATCAGAGAATTACTTTATTTCTACAAAACATGAACGTTTCACAAACATTTTATATGCATTGAATATGGGAGATAATATTTCACACTGTGTGTGTGAATAACCTGGGTGCATTTTTTGGGTCAAAATACGCATTTTTAGTCGCCGGTAGAAACCGGCGACTATATTTGTAATAGTTTAATATTATACCTATGGTAGGAGAAGCCCTTAAAATCTGAAAATAAAAGCATATCAATCATTGAACAATTAAAAACAACAATTATTTTTCAGTAATCACAAAAAATCAAACATATGATAACTTTGCTCAGTGGAATGAAATATGCACATATTGACGTCTTAAAAAGCAACATTACAATTTTCATAAAATGAATCAATAACGTATCCCCAAGGATCAGTCATTGAATATTAGAGATACTTTTACTTTTTTCTATGTGTCAAGCATTGCTATTTTATAATAAATAAATCATGAATGATATTTGAAATGACACTTTAGAATTATTTGGTTGTTTATTTTTTATGAGACCTTTTATATTACATTATTTTATCTAATTATAAACAAATGCTCCCTGGTCTTTCGTAAGAATCACGTGACTACATGTTTATATCTGTTGTATATCGTTATAAAATCTATTAATAGTTACAGATTGCTGATAAGACAGGTAACTTGTTAATGGTGGTAACTGATAAGATGTAAATCATTGTAATTTTGTACAGATAATTACATAAGTTATTTTTCATAAATCAGGTTCATACTTTATATCATAAGAGAAACCTGTTTACATTAAAAATACATTTTCAAAACCTTTTCCTTTCTTCTTGGTAAAGGGTTTAACTTGGCCCTTTCTGTCAAACATTCGACAAGAAAGTTCAATTGTTTAGTTTAGGTTGAACATCCCAAAATAATGTTATGCTTAAGAGGCACATTATTGAAATATATAATGGTAATCGTTGATTTCGGTATATTCCGTCGGTTTCCGTCACGCAGGTTTCCAAAACGGTATGACGTCAGGGTCCGGAATCGTATTAGATACATAGAAAAAAGTAATAAACTATCTTTGTGTTGATAGTTTATCGCACTGAAAGGCAATTAAACGTTAATTTTATATATCGTATGTAACGCTTGGAATACGTGTATTGATTTCAACTAAATTATATATTTTTTCTATAGCACATAATAATGATGTACAACACTTTTACAGTAAAATTGTATTGTTTCATGTAATAATTAAACATATATATTTTCATAGTCACTTTGCAAATATTCGATGATCGGTAATTATTTGTTGGTAATTATCTGAATCTGAACTAGTAACCTATACGGATTTCAATGTATGGTACAACAGTATATGAATAAAGTATAATTACAAGAAGAATTACCAGCATAGCACTTGCCTTACAAGCCTCAGTGGCAAACATTATTCAACTCATTGTTCCTTTTATTTTTATACTTGAACCATTAAACTTATATTTTCTTATATTTATGATAAAACAATCATTTTTCTATCCGGCGACTTGATGCTTTAGCATCAAAATCTCTACTTGTCTTAACTGACTTTGTGTACTCGTTTTGTCCTTCTGGTTCATTTTGTGATTGGCTGCAAGACAAATATATTAAATTAAAGCAGACGACAGTTTTGATTCTGGTAAGATTGTTGAGATTTGCAATAGTTGTAATTAAAGTCGTGTCCATAGTAATGAATGAATATTACTAGTATATGAGCCGCGTGATGACAAAACCAACATATTGTGTTTGCGACCAGCATGGATCCAGACCAGCCTGCACGTCCACGCAGTCTGATCAGGATCCATGCTGTTCGCTTACAAACCCTATAACAAGTAGAGAAACTGATAGCGAACAACATGGATCCTGATCAGACTGCGCGGATGCGCAGGCTGATCTGGATCCATGCTGGTCGCAAACGCACCATGTTGGTTTTGTCATGACGCGGCTCAATTATAATGTTTTGTTTGGAGATTGTTTAATAATTGTTATATAAGCCCCTACTAATGGATTGATTCTTAAGGTATTTTTTTACAACGTATTAGTTCCATATATTTTCTAAAATACCTAAGTTAAAACAAAACGAAACTAGATACCAATGACAACAGTTGGATGCCTACGATCTAGAAAAAAAACAAAACAAAACAAACATCATAATTAATTAAAATCGGAACATGAGTTTACGAATATATTATATACAGCTTAAAATATCACGAATTGGTGTAAAGAGGTATTAAATGAAGTCATCATTAATCGCATTTTCTGTTAAAATATTATTTAAAAAAATCAATAATTCTGTAGATCTACCCATTCTACTGGTGCCCTACACAGTCTGCAATTAAATAAAGATGTTTCCTTGGTTATCTCAAAGCAGGGTACTACGCTGTACCCTTAATACAATCATGTTGAAATGTTTTGCATGAAAAATTCTCAGGGTGTTTGTGTATAAATAAGAGAGCATTTTTGTCAGTGCCATTATGCTACATTGGTAGTATCACATGAATGGCATATTAGATTTTTTTCACAGCTATATATGACATTTATCAATGATGAAAAGTGCAAGCTTTGTTAGCGGTAACATTCCGACAAGAACAACAATAATAAACATTTGTGTAGGATGTAAAGCCCGTGATGTCAATAGGGTGAAGTTAAAGACGATGCGCTTCCTTATATGGTAATTCTGCACATTTTATAAGTTATCATTGTTCCACTACCTTTGTGGCAGCAAGCTCTTTGCAAACTGATTTAAAATGTTATTATAAGCGCATAAGCATTGAATGTTTACAAATCTGTATGACTAGTACATGTATAATGTATTGCAAATCACCATATGCATACGATTAATTTGCCGAGTTTTTTTCTTTATTTAT